GAGAGGGACGAGGAGCTCGGGACGGGCCAGGCAGGGGAAAAGCGGCTCGGGCGCTCCACGGCGCGGAACGAGTTCTACGACGGTGGCAATGACAACGACCAGACCCCACCTGTGCCAGTCGTGCGCGGACGTGGTGGTCCTGGCCGGAGAGGGCGAGGCCGGGGACGCGGGCGTGGGCGGGGGAGGGGCCGGGGAGCTGCCTCTGCTGCTGCCGCTGCCGCTGCTGCGTCTGCATCTGCATCAGTTTCTGTATCCACGCCAGCAACTCCCGCCACGGGGGATGAGGGTGGCCAACCAACGCCGGATGCTGACGCTCCACCACCACCGCCCAAGAGAGGTAGAGGCCGAGGACGTGGAAGGGGGCGCGGGAGGGGAAAGGCTGCCCTCGCCGCCGCTGCTGCTGCCGCTGCCGCCATTGTAGCAGAAGCATCTCCGCCGCCAACAGAGACAAGTGCCACGACTCCCAGTGCTCCGACTCCTAGTGCTCCAACTCCTATGGATGTGGACGCAGGCGCGTAAATGTATTCTAATTTCAGTATTTGGATTTATCTAGTGGTATTTATACATTGTACAACCATTCCCAACGAGTCTAGCCAATGGGGTATTATACAGTACAGGAAAATGCTAAAAATTGAGCAGGTATACGGTAACTGTGGGAGGTTAAACTTTAGCCATGTGCATGATTTCTGGAGCCCGCGCGCTGTTGGTAGTTTCGTTCATTTTCCGCAAGTGACTTCTTGATGGCTAATTCCATTTCACGAACGAAGACGGAAGTGTCGTCTTCTGCATCTATGGCTTTCGGTGTATCCACTAATGTGAACTCCGACGGGGAATGCTCCATGGAATCGGGGGTCGTCGATTCAGGCTCCTCGGTTATCGCGTGCACAGTGCCCAAAGTGGAGCTCCGAACGTTGAAACTGCTGTAGTGACCCTGCTCGGATTCAGAGTCCATGGATATGGACATGCTGACGCCGCGCTTTGCCACAGAATTGCGATACAGCTCCTGCCGTAGCGGCGTGTCGACGTTCTCCGCGTGGAAACGTTCAATCAGGTGCGCGCGTTGGGCGCTTGTGCTGAGGCGAACGGCGGTGCGGCCTTCAGCGATCCGTGTCAATCGTTGGCGATCGTATTTCAGCTGACCGGACGAGGATTTCAGCATCTTCCATGTGCCTTGGACTGACATAGGGCTTGTCAACAACGCCAGATTGGCAACCTTCTTGTTGTGCACGACTAGTGCGCGTTTAGCTACCGCGGATGAAGAGCAAACACGTAAACTCACAATGTCTAATGCAGCCAATCAAGCCCTGTAAGAGATGTCAGGTTTCGGAAAGTACATATAACATGTTATAATCTCTTACAAATTTGTGGTTGTCAATTGTTCCAACCGGCGGCGTTATTGTATCATCCTTGGAGGAAGGAGTTAGGCTTGTCTTTTCAGAAAAGTTGATCATGAACGACTATTCGGTGTAAAGCAGAGAATATTTACCACAGTGATCGTCTGAGTCACCGGCTTGCTATCAGCCTCAAATGAAACCTCAGACGACGCCTCCGATTTCTTCTTGTGATGACCATGGTGTCGGAGATTATCATGGATTGAAGCCACGGCGCCCTTGATACCTGTCATGGAATTCGATTAACTTCCGCAGTACACAATTAACTAATAAATTCACCCAGAGCGAGTTGCAAGCCCTGGTCGGCTTTGTTCTTAGTCGACCTGTAACCATGCAACATGTTTAGCTCGCGAGGCAAAACACTCCGATATGACGAAACGAACATTATAGCGCCGCCCAGCTTCGTTTCATGCGTAAGACAATGGAAAAGTGCGTTGGCGCCCACGTGGGTGGACTCCATTGGCTTTTTACGAGGCCTGTATTCTTTGGACCCTGATTTATCTGTATGAGCGGAGCATTGCTATGCGTAACCTGTGACAACTCACTATGGAGGACCAGTGATCGCAGGGAAATCAAGTTGGCGTCAGCGAGGGTTTGGGCAGCGAAGGCACTGAGCTTTAGACACTGGAAATATCATTCAGTGATACTGCAAGGGTGAGTTGAGTACGACAACTTGCATGTGTAGTAGACCACCACACCGCCAATCGAGACGGGTCTAAGTCACATCTCATGTTGAGCAGCGGAAGATGTCTGTAGAACCCTTCGACTCCCTTGCTGACACCGTTCTGGGATCCGGGTTCGAATATCATCAGCCCATGCAACTGAACTCTATCACGATGAATATCACCTCGTCGTGTATTTTCTGAGCCAAAGATGCTGCTGCTTCCTTTGCAACGGACCCTGTGGCGTATATCAGAGCGTCTTTCAGTTTCTTCACTGTTAGGTCTTTGTGATTGATGGGTTTGGGACCAGCGCCCGACTTGTGTATCATTTTTCCTGTGTAATGAGTTAGTAAAGTCCGGAGGATGCATAAGAATCGGTGATATCACATACCCCAAAATGCTTGATCACCAAAGAATGGAATAACGACGGTAGGTCGCCCCTTGGCCAAGCCTATAGCCGTCGTGCCTGCACCGCCGTGGTGTACAACTGCACTGACGCGTTCTTGATCAAACAGCCAGTCGTGGGGAATGTTTCCGAGCATGAATATATGCGGGGGTACAGTGACGCCTCCAAGTCCTCCCTAGCGCTGTGATAAGGACATTTCCGAGGCTATTGAGATGTCTTTACGCACCCATCCAGCTGAGACTAGCGCTCGTACACCTGCTTGCTCTGTTGCGTCGAAAATGATCTCTGAAAGGCGATTGGTCAGGCGCCTATACAATTTGTGATCAGTACTACTCACTCGATAATGCTGCAGGATCGTCTACTACGACGGATCCAAACCTAGGGAACTGAATTTCAGCGGAAGTTCTTGATCACAATTCCCAGCGTACCCAATATATACCGGTGGTGGTCCCGCCGCAAGGAAAGTAACTAGTTCATGAGGGGGCTGATATGTGGTAGCAAGGTCAAGGAAATAAAACCCAACGACATCTGGGGAAACATATATTTCTAGAAGGCGTCGAATGCAAATTAACCGACGTACCGATATGATTCTTCCAGTCAGCTGGTTTTGGAACGAGGGCGGGGCTAATGCAGTATGTCCATGGTACCTTCAGACGGTCCACGTATCCTGGACCAGTGCGGATATTCAATGGGCTCAACCCCAACTTCGTTGTGCGGAAGATATTGATTATGTCACCAATTCTAAAAGTACCTGTGTTATTCTCGGTTCTAAGTGACAGCATGGATGGAGCTTCACTCACCCTTGCCATGTCAGAAGGTCGGCAGCACAGTAACTTAGGTAGTTGCTCAGTCGATATCGCGGGTTCGAAGTGGTGATGTTGACTAATGGATGCGCAAAAGCTATCGTCGGTGACCTGTGCGGTGATCAATCTTCCCAAGGATTCAAGTGCGTTGACTAAATGTGCCTTACCAAGGCATAGCTGCAAAAGTGTTTGCTGAGCCATGTAATAGCAGAAAGATGACAAGTGCTTACTAAAAGTGAGGAGGAGGGGTATACCCAGCGCTTCTGCACAATGTATGTGCGCAAACGTCGGAGGGTTGGATATAATTGCATCAGCTGCAAAGGCTCTCCCACTGAGAGGGCACGGTGCATGGCACGACTCCCAACACCCATCGATCATTTCCGTCAACATCTTCCGTTTCTTCGCTATATCGCCATTGGTAAGGGAATCAAACCCGGGCACTAACCCAGGGTCTGGATAGTTCTCTGTCAGAGGACGCCCATGTAATTGTGCGAGTGCTTACTCTTCACCATATAACTCATCAAATCTTGCGGATTTCCGCCTATGTTGAAAAATTCCAGCCCAGCATTCGTGACGAATTTGCGAAAGGTTTCGTGCGTCGCGAGCCGGACGCGGTGACCATCTTCAACAAGACGTTTGCCTAGCGCCACATATGGCTGCACGTCGCCTGCAACAGACTTAGGTATGTCAATCGACGAGTTCACAATGGCAACAAACGCACCTCTGCTCCCCACAATCATGATCACTATATTCATGGTGGGACACGCATTCCATTCGTTCTTGTCCACAGCAAACTCTTCTACGTCGTGTGCATGATCATTGTGCAAGTCAGGCGTTCCATTCTCTAGGTCTAAGTGAATGGATATTCGTCCATCTGGACTGACGTTTCCGACTGAATTGAGGCCTTTGCCTTCTGATATATATGATTGTGCAAAATCTGAAGACCTGTAAGAATATGGAATATGGTTGCTGTAGTATCTGAGTAAACGTACTGATGGATGGACTGAGATGATCCATGTCCAATGTAAGGCCGGACTTCCTTCTAGGTCCAGTGTGCGTCGGGACGTCCCGGGGACTCAGGACTGCGGGTGGCGAAGTCATTTGAGCAGATGGTGGTTTGAGCTCAAGGACGGAGAAACCCCGTCTGAGTGCTGGTATAAGAAGATCGTAGTTCCGTATGGGGTGGGATTTAGAAATAACCTGTCATCGTCATATGCAATGAAGCGCCCGCGGTTGCAATTAGTATGACTGCTCAATCACCACAAGATCGTGTTGCATACTGACTTTTATGTAATTGTCTTCAATGCTGTGTAAGGTATTATGACTCGGGTGGCCCGAGCGATACAAAGTTGAAATGACTCAATCGTCGTCGGGGAAGAGAAATGGTGAAATTGAGGGTATCCGGTAGATGTAGTTTATCGTTGTTGCTATCTGACAGAAATTGAGCAAGGTCGTATGGGCAACGCCGCGCATTGTGCATTGAATAATTGATCAGGGAGTGCAGGAAGGTGTCAATAAACTGCCATTATTTCTGATTTCAGAGTCCCGTTGTACCTCCGCTTACCGAGGCCTACAGTTCCGTCCTTCGGCTGCAAGCTGTGAATCAACTGTCAATGAGGTATGCATTCTGCCCCTCCTAAGGCCTTGCTCCGCTAGCTTTGTTTATCTTCTTGCCCGGGCCCCGGGCGGTGTGCCTCCCTGCCAGCCAAAAACTATTCGTCGACAAACGTGGGAAAAATGGTTCAATCCAGGATCGAACTGGAGACCTTCTGTGCGCCCTGGAGACAAAGCTCGAATCTCAATGTGAGACAGAAATCATAACCACTAGACCATTGAACCGGTTGCGGAGATTATCAAGGTGAAGCTCAGAGCGCGACAACCGTCGCCGCCAAACATTCGCGGGCCGGAAGGACCGCTTCTTCTCAGCTTGCTGAGCCGAGTCCGACACTAACATTCTCTCCACCCACCACCACAATATTCCCCGTACCAGTCTTCGGCGACACCCCGCGAGAGGCCCAGTCATAGATGCAAAAATAGAGTCCTGAATACACCAAACAGGTCTATTGTACGAGAATGTCTAGTTTGCCAGTATTGTTACCAGCAAATGCAATTTTGCGTTCTTCTTCCGTCGCGCACGTTGAATGGAAGCCACAGCGACATCTTTCAGAGCCCCAACCACCTCCGCAAGACGATGGAAAGGTCCTCGAACAAGAGTTAGCAAATGCGCGGCAAATGATCGACGGCAAGATCATCAAGAAAACGCGCCCTCGGCGGACAGTGGACTACAATGGCAGTATGGGGCGCTGGGCTCTGGTACGTGGTGTCTATACATCTATAGTATATGTTTTCAATAGTTAGATAGCTGCGAAAACTGCGGCCTAATCCTAATTATGTCCCTCATATGCGCCCAAGTCCACCTTTCATCATTGACGTGAGTAGTTATGCATAGTGAACTCTTTCAATAATGACAAAGTTTCCGTAGCTCCTACCGCCCAAAGCATACCCAGAAAACCCTTCAACTTCGCTTTGTACGAAATTTGTCCACACGTCCACCAACAAGATTCGCTGTCCAGTGAACGTGGTAACGGTGCGTTGTATGCTTCCCTACCCAGGCTTAAAGCTGAACAACGAACCAGTGGACTCCAGAATCCCGCCGCGTACTTACCGGTTCAACAAGTGGCGAATTTACCCTCTGGAATGGCCTAACTTTCAACTTTGAAACCATTCTACAAGCCCATGATACCGCGATATGTGCCATGACGTTCACCCATTCCGGCGCTTATCTTGCCTCAGCGGACAAGAGTGGTATCATCAAATACTTCGAACCGAACATGAACAATCTCACTGCATGGCAAGGTTCTTCATCCCGAGAAGCTATCCGCGGTCTGAGCTTCAGCCCAGACGATCGACGTTTCGCGACTGCTAGTGATGATTCTAGCGTGCGGATATGGTCTTTCGCCGAGAGCAGAGTGGAGAGTGTATTGACTGGTCAGTTCATCGCCTGTTTGGCGCATGTCATTTCTCATCTTGTTCACAGGCCATGGATGGGATGTGAAGTGCGTGGAATGGCATCCAACCAAGGGTCTGCTAGTGTCCGGTAGTAAGGACAACCAAATCAAATTTTGGGATCCTCGAACGGGTACGGTTTTATCGACGCTGTATGTTATGTTTTTATTACTTTTCTATCAGCGACCTGATGATTTTCTTCCAGACATCAACATAAAAACACCATCCAGGCATTATCGTGGTCGCCAAACGGCAACCTCGTGGCAAGCGCCTCCCGGGATCAGACAGTGCGTGTATTTGATATCAGGGCGATGAAAGAACTCCGCCTGCTCAAAGGACACAAGAAAGAAGTTTGCTGTATGTACATATCCGTCCTATCTTCGATATATACTCATATTCATTTCTACGCAGCCGTCACCTGGCACCCTGTGCACCCTCTCCTCGTCTCCGGCGGCTCAGAAGGCTCCATCCTCCACTGGGATCTCTCCACCCCCGACGAAAACAGTACATTCAACCAGTCCGTCTCCCCGCCACGCGCGACGCTCTCGCAGGCGCACGACTCGAACGTCTGGTCGCTCGCGTACCACCCTTTCGGTCACATCCTCGCGAGCGCGTCAAACGACCATACGACGCGCTTCTGGAGCCGCGAGCGCCCGGGCGACGTCTCCTCTGTCTTCTCTGGGGGCGGCGAGAAGCCGCCGGAGATCATCGACACGGCGGGCCAGGACGACGAGGACGACGCGATGGTGCCTGGGTTCGGGTTCGGGTTTGGCAGCGGCGGCGCTGCTGCAGGCAGTGGTGCAGCTGGTGGTACTGGAGGCGGCGGCACACAGTGGTGGGGCAAGGACGAGGACGGTGGCGCGTCTTCGAACGACGCCCTGCGCCGCGCCGACGATAACCAGAGCACGGACGACTTCATACCTGGGTTTGGTGCGGGCGGGGGCGACGGCCCGTCGCGCCAGAACGCGTACTCGTCCATGCATCAGCAGTCGCAGGATACGTACGGTGGCCCTCCTGAGAAGGACGAGTTCGGCCGCGACCGTGAATATGGCGGGCGCTCCGGCGGTGGTGGAGGCGGCGACCACGACGGGTGGGGCCCGCGTGGGGGCGGTGGGGGCGGCGGTGGAAGCTATAACCGCGGTGGCCGGTACGGCCCTAGAAGAGGGGGTCGCTATTAGGTGAGCATTATATCCAAATTGTTTACTCCCTTTCATTTTGTGTTGATTTCTGACGATTTCAGTCAATGCAGGAGGTCTATAATATATACCTGTAACCAACCTGTAACGAGTCTGTTGTGAATCTAAACCCCTTAGTGTTTTATTGCCTCGGTATCCATCGGATGGTAACAAGACCTCTAATCTTACTCTATCTTGTCAGATTATATATCGTTTACGCTGGTGTTTACACTGTACAGTGGAATTTTTCAAGCGCCGGGATGCTTTGAAAGGTACCTGTGCTGATAACTATTTTATGCTTATGGTACCAAAACAAACCAAACGCCATTAGGGGTAACATCCATATTTTTTCTTGCGATGCTGCAAAACATCTTCGAAATTCAGGAATGCTCGATGTTAAATAAGTAGTGGCAGCACGACGGCAGTTACTTTCAAAAAGAACCTTTTCCCCTAGATTTTCAGGGAAGCGTATAGGAACAACTCATAATTTTCCAAAATATCAATGAACAGAGCTAGAGGATCTTTTGTATCTTTTTCTCCTCCAAAAGACGCTGACAGGATCTAATAAGCGTTATTAATGTTCTGGGTCGAAGGTGGAGGCGAAGATGACGCATCAAAATAACATGTACAAACAACAATGGCTTCGCGGTGAAGCACCGCCTGCTCCCGACGTTGTTACAGTCGATTTGCAGCGCGTCGGCTGCAGCCCACAAGATTCTTCACAACTTTCATTACATACGCTATACCATTCTACAATGGGGGACCAATACCCCAGCCTTCTCCGTAAGTCCCTCTGACAGTCCAATAGCACCTCTTTGCTGACCAGAGTCACCACTTCCGAAGGGTCGGAGGAGATGAGCCTGGTGCAATTATTCGTGCCGACTGAGGTGGCACACGATACCGTCGCGGAGCTCGGGGAGCTTGGAGATATGCAATTCAAAGACGTAAGTCAAATCCCCGCGCTGTGGCGGTTCGAATTTAGAGCTGACTTGGCCTCTGCATCCGCAGTTGAACCCCAGCGTCAACCCGTTCCAGCGCTCCTTCGTCGGCGAGATCCGCAGAGTCGACGAGATGGGTCGGCGTGTGCGCTTTTTCTCGACGCAGATTGCGAAGGAGAAGGACGTCGTGCCCATTCGGCCGCTGCACGAATCGGCGCCGCTCGTCACCGTTGGCCCCCGCGCGGCGCAGACCATTGATGAGCTGGATACCACACTGGCAGAGCACGAGCAGAGGCTGACCAGGATGAACGAGAGCTACGAAAAGCTGAGCGACAACACGCGAGAGCTGATCGAGGCGCAATATGTTCTGCGGGAAACTGCCGTATTCTTTGACCAGGTACCCTCATTCCAAGGCCCTCAATTCCCACCTTACTCACATTGTTATCGCAGGCGAAAGGCCATCAAAGTGATATTCGCTCCTCATTCGACGATAGCAACACTCCTCTTCTACAAGATGACCATGAGGCTGGCTTCAGGCCTTCATCCGGAGTCCAATTCGATCTCGAGTATGTTTGTCACTTCAAAGTTTATATCTGGGTGTTAACCTTGAGTTAGATTTGTTGCCGGAACCATCGAACGCTCGCGCTTTCCCACCTTTGAACGTGTTCTATGGCGTGTTCTGCGCGGTAACCTGTTCATGAATCATACCGATATACCAGAGCCCTTCGTGGACCCTGTCACCAGCGCGGAAGTTCGCAAGAACGTGTTCATAATTTTTGCGCATGGCGAAGCGTTACTCGCCAAGATTCGCAAGGTCGCGGAATCGATGGGGGCTACTCTTTATCCTATCGATGCCAATGCCGAGAGACGCTCCGATTCTCTTCGCGAGGTCACGAACCGATTGGAAGATCTACAAACGGTTCTTTACAATACTGGCCTCAACAGGCGTTCGGAACTGGTCAAGATTGGTGAACACCTCCGGAGCTGGCAGGATGTCGTCAGGAAGGAGAAGCTGATCTACGAAACGTTGAATTTGTTCAATTACGATGTTCGACGGAAGACACTCATTGCGGAGGGTTGGGTACCTACTAGGGATATTACGACTATCCAGCTGGCGTTGAGGTCTGCAACGGCGAGTATATGCGCCACTGTTGTTAAGCTTTGTGCTAATTTGGATTTAGGAGGGTTCTGGCACGAGTGTTCCGCCCATTTTGCATGAGTTGACAACCCACAAGACACCTCCGACCTTTCATAGAACGAACAAGTTTACGGAAGGTTTCCAAACCATCATGGATAGTTACGGTACTGCAGCTTACCAGGAGGTCAACCCTGGCCTATTTGCTATCGTCACATTCCCTTTCTTATTCGCTGTTATGTTCGGTGACATTGGCCATGGCTCGATCATCTTCTTTGGGGCACTGTACATGATTTTGGCGGAGAGGAAACTGGCAAAAGCCGATCTCGGCGAGGTATGCGCTACTATTACATTGTTCCTCCTTGACGCTGATTCCTACTGTTTGATGGCCCTTAGATTATCGGTCAATTCTTCTTGTAAGCTTCCCGCGTTTAGTGTGCTAATTCCGTTATAATTGAACATGAAACAGTGGTCGTTACATCATCCTCATGATGGGATTGTTCTCGATGTACACGGGCCTCATGTACAACGATATCTTTTCGAAGAGTCTTCGTATCTGGGACTCTGCTTGGACTACAACAGATA